AAAAAAAAAAAAAAAAAAAAAAAAAGATATCATAAAGAAATGTGAAGCGGGCTGGGTGCAGTGGTGCATGCCTGTAATTCCAGCTACTTGGGAGGCTGAAGCACAAGAACTGTCTGAACTCAGGAGGTGGAGGTTGCAGTGGGTCAAGATTGTGGCACTGCACTCCAGCCTGGGCGATAGAGCGAGACTGTGTCTGTGTCTCAAAAAAAATAAAAAATACGGTGGCTCAAGCCTGTAATCCCAGCACTTTGGGAGGCCGAGACGGGTGGATCACAAGGTCAGGAGATTGAGACCATCCTGGCTAACAGGGTAAAACCCTGTCTCTACTAAAAAATACAAAAAAAACTAGCTGGGCGAGGTGGCGGGCGCCTGTAGTCCCAGCTACTCGGGAGGCTGAGGCAGGAGAATGGCGTGAACCTGGGAGCTTGCAGTGAGCTGAGATCCGGCCACTGCACTCCAGCCTGGGCAACAGAGCAAGACTCCGTCTCAAAATAAATAAATAAATAAATAAATAAAAATAAATAAAATAAAAAATAAAAAAAAAAGAGAAGCAGCCTAGTGTGAGGCTTCATATTGGTAATGCTGGATCCTAGAAAACAATAGAACAAAGCCTTCAACAATTTGAGAAAAAAGTCTTCTGAACCAACCATTCTACACTATGTGTAATTATCAATCACTGAGGGCAAAACAAGAACATCTAATAAAATTAGATAATCAAGTTTACTATCTTCCATATGTGAAAAAACAACTCCAGAATCTACTGACACATCCAGAGGGTGGGATAGGGAGAAAAGTATCCAAGAAAGAGCATAAGAAATATGAAGAGTGGTGGTGAAGTCCCAGAAAAAAACAGATAAAGCTGAAAATAAATGTAAAAAGAATGTCGCTGCCCAATGGCATCTGGAACATTCACTTTCAGTAAGAAAGGCTTGAGAACAGGCAATTCCATCTCCTTCTCTGCAGTCCTGGTCCAGCTACTGGACTCTGCAGTGGACTAACAGGCAACCACAATAGCCCGTTCACTGTCCGGCTCTCATTTCCTCTCTCCTTTCACTTCAAATTCCCCACACCCACCTCGTATCTATCTGCTTCCCACACGGTGATGACCTTGGTTCCATTTCCCAGTGCAGCAGGAAATAATCAGAGGACAACTTCTACTTCCTCTGGCCCTCTCCTAGGGACTTCCTCCAGCCACTATGAACGACCTGGCTATACTCCTAAGGCCACATGATGCCGGAACCGGAACCATCCCTAGTAGCCAACTTACAGACATAGTTCCGGCAGCCTCTCCTCTCTCTGCTGCATGGTTACCTCCCCTCTCCTCTGGATCATTCCCATCTGCCATGTTCCGGCATGTTTTTTTCATCCATCTTAACAAAATTACAAAACTCTCCTGATCATACTTACCCCTCCAACTACTGCTTCATTTCTTTCCTTCCCTTTACAGCTAACTTCTACCAAAGCAAAATACTTTACTACTAAACCCGTGAGTCCCTCTCCGCCCAGGCTCTTGACCCCATTCTAATCAGGCTACTTTCCGGCCTCTACAGCCAGCGCTTTCTCAGGTCTCACCTGACCACCAGCAGCATTTATCACTGCTGTTCAGTTAAGTCTCATTTAAAGACTTCCTGACCTACAGGATATCACACACTGGGTTTTCCACTGAAACCAATGACTATCTGCTGCTCCCTCATCTTTGCCTGGACCTCTTCTTGGAGTGCCCTAGGGCTCAGAGCTAGAACTGTCTTGTTTCTATCTATTCAACTCCATAGGCATTATTATTGCATCTGGTGGCCTGGGTATCCTCTCTGCTGAAGGCTCCCATATTTCCACCTCCAAACTCTTCCCTGAACTCCAGACTCATATATTCAACTGCCCACTTGACATGTCCAGCTGGATATCTACCAGGCATCTCAAGGTTAACATATCGAAACCCACTCCTCCTGCAGTGACCCCATTCCAGTTAATGGCAACTACATGCACCTCAGTGGTTAAGCCAAAAACCTGCTGTGATTCCTTGATTCTTCCTCACCCCTCACATATCCAGTCTGTCTGCCAATACTGCGGATTAGACTCCACCTACTGGCCCATGGGAGACAATTATAGTAATAGAACTTAAGGAAATGAAAAAAAAAAAAGAACTTAAGGAAATGAATAATATGGCCAGCAAAAATTTAGAGATGAGGCTGGACACGGTGGCTCACACCTGTAATCTCAGCACTTTTGGAGGCAGGTGGATTGCTTGGGTCCAAGAGCTCGTGACCAGCCTGGGCAACACAGCAAAATCCTGTCTCTACAAAAACTACAAAAATTAGCCGGGAGTCATGGCGTGTACCTGTAATCCCAGCTACTGAGAGGCTCCGGTGGGAGGATCACCTGAGCCCGGAAAGGTTGAGGCTGCAGTGAGCTGAGATCTTGCCACTGTACTCCAGCCTGGGCAACAGAGACTTTATCTCAAAAATACAAATAAAAGCTCTCTTCTAGGGACGTTGTCTACAGGAAGTGAGAATGGTCCAGCATTTGACACACCATCATAGGCTTTTCTACAATACACCGTCATAGGCTTCCTACGGTACACCGTGCTAGGCTTCCTACAATACACCGTGCTAGGCTTCCTACA